CTACTTTTTAATTTGTACGTGTCTGGGGGTCTTGGGCTAATGCTGAGCTAAGGTGGAGCTAAACAGTTTGGGTTATGCTTAGTTTTAGAGAGAGGCAGAATCTTGTTCTGTTACAAAGTGGCTGGAAAGGAGCTACCATGGACTGTGGTGGGTGAGCACCATGATGCTGGCTAGCTTCTGAGTTAGGTTTAGTAGAGTGACAAAGCATTGAGCTTTGATTGGAGTGTGACTGCAAAGAGAATGCTGAGGGTAGGATCAGATGGCTGAATATTTCTCTCTTGACAGCATTTTCATCTGGGCCATGGCTGGTATCCTGGGTTAAGGCTCAGCTCATCCTTCTCTTTAGAGTTAGGGGGGGTGCCAAACCCTATATCCCCATTGGAACGTGACTGCAGAGAAGTTGCGAAGGAAAGGGATAGGTTGCCAAAATATTTATTTTCTGGGCCGCTGCTGTTCATCCTTAGCTGAATTTTAGTCCATATCCACCATTAGGATTAGCATCATAATTAGGCAGAGTGTTAAGAGAGAGAAAAATTTTGGGACTCAGGGTGGAGTGAGGCTGCATGTGGGGTGCCAAGGAAGGGGGTAGGCTACCAAAAGATTTCTTATGTAATAAAATTTTCATCTCAACCATGGCTTAGGGTCCCAGGCTATGGCTCAGAGCACAACATATTTCAGGCTTATGATTAAAAGCACAGTGGAAGTTAGATTTAGTGTTAGGAGAGAGGCTGCCTAGATCTCCAGTTGTAGTGGGGCTGTAAAAGTGCTGGCAAGAGGAGTGGTATCCTGCAGAACAATTTCTCTCCTAACAGCCTTTTTATCTGGGTGATGGCTTCTGAGTGTGGGCCAAGTCTCAGCCCATCCTGGTGGTTAGGGTTAAGGTTAGGAGAGAGACAGTCTGCACTTTCTTCACTTAACCTGATAATCAGTTTTTCATTTTCCTTTCTAAGAGAGGCCTGTATTTATAGGATATCCTTCCATCACATTTGAAGTTACACCCTTAGACTGGTATGATGGCTCTGTATGTCGGAGTTAGTTCCTTCAGCTTGCTGCAGTCAATTTACTTTTGACAACCAAGAAATTTGATTTTTATAATGGGGCGTAAATCACAGGAAAGGGTTGTCTATAATGGACTTCAGCAGAGGTAGGAGCAAGACTGCAGTAGTTCATATCAACGGGATTTTATAATAGAGAACTGCACAATGAAGGACATACTCTTCATGGAGAAGGAGAATTTAGAGAAATTTGGGACAGGTAGGTAACAGTTACACAGCTTGGAGATTTAAAAGCTGTTGTCTTGTTATGGTCCATTGTTTTTCTGGTCTGTATTTGGTTTGATATATAAGAATACCACTGAGCCAAGAGGCTGGATGAAAACAGAAAGATGGGGTCAAGTGCAGCATGCCTGAAACAGCTGCAGTATGTCTCACTGCTCAGTACACTGAGTTGCATGTTTGTTAAATTGAATTATACCTTTAAATTAATTCAATTGAATGCGAGACGAATGAATTATAAATAATTCTTGGTGAGGCTATAAATATGGCTTGATAGAACCTACCACCACAAATAGGAAAAGCCTATAAAAATGTATTTGCATGTTTACATATCACTCCCCTGTGGTGGATTAGCAAGCCGAAAGAAGTCTAAAACCACAGGGGGAAGGTTTAAATAGGATGATGCAGACATTAGTGAATGATTAACAGTAATTTCACAAAGGTGGAGGGTAAGCTGCTCATTTTGCAGAATCTCACAAATGTGTTTTGAACGATTAACTAAATTTGCTCGGCAAAAGTTTAATTAAGGCCGCCGCTGATTAACCACAATTATTTAACTCACTGTACAGACTGGCTATGCACGCTATGTGAAAAGAACAGTATTAACCAACATGAAGGTGTTCAGGGGTTCTTGGGGCCTGTCAGGGCTAGCTACCCCTTTGATTCCTCATCTCCAAAGAAGTTAGGGAGTCACTCAGAGAACATTGCACCGTTCTCCTGAAAGCCCTCTGGTACCCTCTGACAGAGTCTTCTTAATAGAGTGCATATACATATACAGCATACATACACAGCCTGCTCTGTGGGCCAATGCATGACTGAATAGGGTCAAATCCCTGTCGCCTTTGGTGAAATGATGGATGCTGCTTTCAACACTCTTGACATTTCTACAAAGCTGTGAAAACCAGACTGGGTCTTGTGTCTGCAAGTGAACTCAAAACAGAGAATGAATGGAGGTCTCTTGTATCCTCCTTTGCCCCTGCTTCCTCTAACCCCCACCCTCCCCTTCCTTCTTGTCACTCTTGTTCTTTATGAGCCAGAATATAATCTGTCCCTGGCTGATTATGCTAATATTTTCAAATGCTGCTTACTGTATTTTACAGGTAATACTATTTTGGCACAGTTGGACACACTTATGAGAACAAGTGACATCTGTGTCATTTAATTGCTTTTTTTTCTTGTCAGAGAGAGAAATAAAGACTAGTGCCCTTAATAATAACTTATGATTAGAGCTGATTAGGAAATAAGTATTTCCTGAAAAGCTTTTTGAGAGGAAGCACAATTTTTCCTTTAAAAAAAGAACAAAGAATTCTTTTCATAGTTTTATCAAAACCTTCTTAGCTGTCATTTTACTCTATTGTTAAACATTCTCCCAGCTTTTAATGTCATATATTTTGGTTTCACAATGGGACTTCGGTTGTCAGTATCCCAAGCTTCAGTGAAGAGATGTTGATTGTCAGATAATGGTAGGCCAATGGTAAATCTCTCTGATGTATATTGAATGCAGCTCTTCCTTCTAAACAGTTCCATGAAAGTTATTAAAAAATCAGTAGGAAATATGGTATGCTTGCATGGTAGACACAGAAACATATAAATGAAACACTGCTTATTATTAATGTTCTTTACTATTAAGAAGATCCCTACATCCCAGTCAGGGTTTCTGTGGCCTCACAAGACTTGACAAAGCTGTCTTATAGAAACAGATCCTCCTGTGACTGAACCCCCTGCTGCTTTTATGCCTAAATGTCACAGTTTGCGTTCCATCCATTGGCTTGATGCTCCACAATATACTTTGAATACTTAATTTTTTGGATATATTTAGTTTTTTATTTACATTCTTCTTATATTATGATATTTTCAGAGTCATAGTGTTATTCAAGCAGTAACTTCACATGTCTCAGAAATCCCAGCATTATTTCACTAGCCATTTATATGAATGCTCAGTTCCAAAACTTGTTACCTTGTTTACAAAGATTTCCAACGTAACACACAAATTCACTAAAAGGCTAAATAAATTTATTTTTCCATTAAGAAAACCATGTGCTTTGCTATATAGTTGTACCTGAGGACTAAACTTACTTTCTGCTCTATCAAGTATAGTATTTCCATTCTTTTATTGGCAAGTTACAAAAACTATAGAATCATAGAAGTGTATAGGTTGGAAAAGACCTTTAAGATCATCAAGTCCAACCACTAATCTATCACTGCCAAGTCCACCACTAAACCATGTCCCTAAGCGAAACATCTACATGTCTTTTAAATCCTTTCAGGGGTGGTGACTCAACCACTTCCCTGGGCAGCCTGTTCCAGTGCTTGATAACCGCTTTGGTGAAGAATTTTTTCCTAATATCCAATCTAAACATACCCTGGCACAACTTGAGGCCATTTCCTCTCATCCTATCGCTTGCTACTTGGGAAAAAGACCGACACCCACTTCACTATGTCCTTTCAGGTAGTTGTAGAGAGTGATAAGGTCTCCCCTGAGCCTCCTTTTCTCCAGGCTAAACAACCCCAGTTCCCTCAGCTGCTCCTCATAAGACTTGTGCTCTAGACCCTTCACCAGCTTCGTTGCCCTTCTTTGGATGTGCTCCAGCACCTCAGTGTTTTCCTTGTAGTGAAGGGCCCAAAACTGAACGCAGTGTTCAAGGTGTGGCCTCACCAGTGCCAAGTGCAGGGGGATGATCACTTCCCTAGTCCTGCTGGCCACACTATTTCTGATATAAGCCAGGATGCTTGTATTAACATCCTAGCTAATTTTTAGCTACTCATTTCAAAATCCTGCTTGCTTTTTGTTTGTATACTTCTAAATCATTATTGCATACAGCAGTACAATAAATAACATGTAGTCAAGTAGTGTTATAGCTACAAAAAATAAAAAATAAAAAAAGTCAGGACTTGAAACCATGACTTATCTTTGGATCAGGTTATTAAGAGTGTTCATATTGATCTGTTTACATGCTTTGTTTGTCCTAATAGCACTCTGAATATTCATAAATAAATAGCTCATCATCTTCTATCAATGTCTTAAATAAAGGACTAATGATGTCAGGACAGCTTTGGCATTTATGAAACATGCTATGATCTACCTGTAACTGATTGTAGGGATAGCTGGAAGAGCATATTTTCAGATTGCTTCATTTTCTGTTATCAGAAAATCCATCAAATTTAGCTGAAAGACTTTAGCAGTTCCCCTACTTCAAGGAGGCCTTTACAGTTTGTCTTGAGAAGCACCTGTTGTTTAGTTTTATGAAACAATGCTCAGGTTAAACTGCAGAAGAGTAGCCAGGTCCTCCTCCTCAACCACCTCCTTTTTTTGTTTCCCCTTCCTGTTCTTCAGAGCTCCCCGGGGTGTGCAGGGTGACGAACGCTGTCTCTGGGGAGCAGGACTGTGCAGGAGGCAAACCCCTGCAGTCTGCCCTCCGGGTTCCTGGGGAGGGCGTTGGGATGGGGGTGAGCAGGAAAGGAGGGGGGAAGCAGGCTGTTGCCAGCAGTTCTTCTTGTTCTCCGACCTTCTCAGCCTCAAGGTAACTCATTCTCTTGCCTCTTGAGGTATCAGCTTTGAAGTGAGCTTTCCTTCCTTCCCAGAGGCAGGATTTAGACCCCCTCCCTGCTTCCTATCCTACATGATCCCTCGTATTACTGTCACTATTGATAATATCATACTATGTACCCAAAGGGGCAAACTTAAGACCACATGAACGCCTTATATTCAGGTATTTCTATTTTTTCAAGAGCTTTCTGAAACTTTCAGCTTTACAGTAGCATAGCTATGTCACTTCACTATTCTTTCAAAATTATGCAACTATAATTTAGCTACAATGGCTAGTTTTACATTGCTGCCAAGCTGTCTTCAATTCCATGTGTCACTTCTCCCGTTGGTGAACACAAATCCAGGTTTTCCTGCTGAGGTGCTCTTTGCTCACCACCCACCCCACACTGCACCAGAGGCGCAGATGCGTGTGGGTAGGGCAGTGAAGATGGGAGCCTGTTCCTTAGTACCAGCAGCTGGCATGTGGCAATGAAGATCTAGAGAAAATAAAATGAACTGGAGGAGTTTCTTATTGGCATACTCGGTGTGAAGCAGCTCTGATTCAATGTCAGCAGGCTATCGTCTGCAGAGTTAGGTTACCTGCCCCAACAGAAAAATCCACAGACCCTTTTTCTGCACCCTGAAATCAGGAGATTCCACTCAGGTTTGACAGTTTGCTAGTCTTAGGAGCAATTGTCAAGTCTCAGAGAAAGTGATGCATTTCCATAATCTGGTTATGAGGTGTTTAGCTAGGTTTAGGTCATCAGGTGCGGTGAGCTATTTTCTTCAGGTTGGTCCCAGGACGTAAGTCAGGTAGTAAGATATCATTTTGAAATTCAAAGTGACAAAGGGTTCCAGAGGAACTCTTGTCTGGCAGAGTGTTTTGATGATTTGTGGCTGTCTGTCTTAGATGCCACACTGTGGCTGCAGATTCTTAAAAGTATCTGCTGCTTCTTGTAAGCATAATCTCAATTTTGTGAAGGTTTAACATTAACCAGCTGTTCCACAGCCATATGGTGACCTGAGCAAGACACTGGACTGACTGGATTTCTGTGGTGTTATTGAATGTAGGTTTTTATGTGGATGCAGAAAAATGCAAGATAGAAAAGCTTATTAAATCAGTCTGTGTCTCTCTGTATCCATTTCTACTCTTTGAGCAGCTGCTTACGCTCAGACTCTGAACTGAGTCAGTCAATTTACTCCAATAGATACTAAATCAGTCCCTTTATCCATAATGATTAGACAGCAGGAAAATGCACATCTGATAAAATGTGGAGAAATCCAACACAAAATTAAGCTTCCCTCACAGAGAAAAAAATAAGCCCTAAACCTGATTGAATAGGTTAATGGCAGAACTGTACCAAGTAAATTCATTCTGCAGTATGAAAGCAGAATGAGGGACATTAGGCATCAGCAATAGCATATTTAAGGTACCATAAAAAGAGTACCTCAAGCTGTATTTGTCAGCAGCTATTGCTGAATAAAGAGTGTTTCATAATTAACAAAAGATTTCAATTGAGTTAAATCTTAACACTTTGCATTGCAGATTTTCTGTAAACAAAGTGATTAGGTTGGTTTAAATCTGTATTCCAAGCAACCTTTACTGAAGGTCTGCTTCACTGAAAACTACCAACCATCTCTTAAATTCAACAGTTTTATCTGACCTGGCTTCCTTAAACATTTTACTTTTTTTACAAAGATTAAAAAATACACTGTGGAGTAAAATTATCTCAGCTTTGAAAATATGAAATTGCATCTGAAGCAGTGCTTCAGTATGTGGTAATTTACTATGGTAGCTCTAAAGCACAGATGGGAGAGTATAGAAAGAGGATTAAACTGCTTTCCATATCCTAAACTTTATCAGGGATAACACAGAAAACTGTGTCATTCATTACTGCCTGGGGAGTTCTTAAGTGTTAACAATTTATCTAGCTGATACATTAGGAAAGCTAGGAAGTAATTTTTTTCATTAGCAATAACAGACTGCAACTAAAATGAAAGTCAAAGTTGCATTGCAAGAGTTTTATTCACATGCCAAACAGAGGAAATTAATTGCTTCACCTGGAAATATTGATCATAGCACATCTAAGCCAAAATCTAAGTGCATGGACCCAAGAAATGCACTGCTGAAAATTTAAGTCTTTATTTCTAAAAAGGCTAGTTTTGCTGCATTGCAAATAAAGAATGAGACACTATTTGTGATACTTTATGTCATACAGGATTTGTGTTCATAAACTGTGCTTCACATCACAAAATCAAAATGTTTTAGGATTAAGTTCAGAATCTATTAAAATCAAAAGAAATACCCTCATTAACATTTAGCAGACTTTGGATCAGGCCTATCCAAAGATTCAGCTGATAATACCAATACATGCAAGAGATTACAACCAAATTCTCGTTATCCCTTGTAATTATGTCCCCCTCATGTTTGTTTTCATTTGTATGCTTTGATATTTTTTCTAGACGCTTCTGTTTAAGCTGTGCACTTAGGTTTAGCAGAGCTTTATGACTGCATTATTTTTTAAATGATTTCTGAGTTTATACAAACCCAAAGTTATAATACTCAACTGGCAAGTTTACTGTGATTTTCTGTAAAGCAGATGACATCACAGAGTTCTTGTTTAGTTTGTAAATAAACCCATTAATGTAACATGGATTTTAATAAGATAGAGAGCAACAGATCTATAATTGCTGGTTTTCTAGACTATTTTAAACCAGTTTATGGAATCCAGTATTTATATACACACATATACTTCTCTGCCTCAAGAGAATATATTTAATCGTGAAAGTGATGAGTTATTTTAAAAATTTTCCATAAGATTTCTCTATCAAATTCAGTAGTAGGATTTCTGTATTGAAGCCTGCAACTCTCATATACAGCTACACTGAATCTCTCTGTTACATGGTATTTTTGTCTCAGTTTCCATTGCAAATGTTTGCTAAAGATCAGTTTTTCATCTTCTAGCTTTTGTTCTATTCATCTTTGCTCCCACTGGCTTTCTGTAGGCTGGACTCCATCTTATCTTCCACTACTAGGATTAATATAAAATCAACAGGTAACATGCAGGTGTAGGATACTTTTTGAAAATGGGAAAACATCTCTGGAGTACTTAAGACCACATAAGCAGATATACTGCGATGTCTGGACAAGAACAGATGAGTATCTCATCTCCAACAGTGACTGAAATTGTTATTAGTCATATTCAGAAAAATAATTCCAGCCCCCATATTGTGGTTTTTCTTTTTGACTATCTAATCCCTTAATAATGTATTATGCCTCAGTTGCTGTATGTGAGATAATACATCTTCTTTAAGTAAGTGTAAAGTGACACCCCGCAAAGCTATGGCTGCGGCTAACACCGCTCATAGTAGCAGTAAGACTTTCCAGTTCTGGGTGAGGACCTATGCACACATCTTTATCCTCTGCTATTCAATTTTCACATAGTATCATCATTTTATCTTACATAAGATTCCCTGTATCCACTCCATCTGACTGGGTTTTTACGAAAGGTATTGTTGACAAAATGGTCTGACTTCCCTGTGATTAATGCTACACACAGCAGCAAGCTACTAGTAATCAGCTCATTGCATTTGGCTTTCCCACTGTGTTTTTGAAATGACTTCTTCCTCACCCTGACAGTTTCTCTCCTGTAAATTCTCAGAGACCAGTGGAAGGAGGTAAGCAGTGAGCAGAAGTAGCTGACAGTAAAAAGATGTATGCCATCCTTTGTCCCTCTGGAGGTCATGCATTGGAGATAATATAGAAAATTAGAGACTGGCAATTGTACTACATATACTGTGCAGTTTGCAGACTAACTGGAGAATTAAACTATTTCCAGTTTCATTCTGAGGACAAGCAAGTATCTTGGCTGGGTGCTCAGGACACTAATCTACAACTCCAGTGTGTGGTTCAGATTTCTGTCTTCTGCAGCCTTCTTGCCTGATCACTTATAGCCAGCCCTCCAAAATATTTCACTTGCTGCAACAATTCTCATTTCTGCTTCAGTGAACTAAATTAATATTTAATGTTTATTGGAGCTGGGACTGGGGGAATCCAATCGTATCCCCTATCAGGTGACTGCTCTAGGAACCAGGCCGGAGAGTCATGTGCAAACATATGCACATGCACACACAGTCCCCTCCTTATCTCAACTGGTATAGTCTGTATAAAGTAGAACAGCTAATTCAAGGTTCTGGAGAAGGAGAAAGTCTCTCACCTGGTGGTCTTGCAGTGTTTTGTTGCAGAGAACAGAAACCAAGAAGAAAATTTGAACCGTAATCCCCATCATGAGAAAGGCTGATGCGATCACTGGGCTGCAATTGTTGGGCTTCCAGGTAAGAGGCAGTGGGAGGGGCAAATCCTATCCACTCCTTGACCTTTATTCTCCGCAAAGCTTCTTTGAGTAAGTTTCCTCTGAGGAAAGCAATCAGATTAATCACAGAGGTAACATAGAAGCATGAATGCATAAATTATAGATCCTGAATTAACTTAAATGTAGGATAGCTGTCTAGCTGCTCAATATTGTCAAGAATTCTATGGTATCTTGACTTCTTAACAGACAGACTTTACATTTCTAAGTATCTTTAAGCACCTTAAGAGTGAGGAAGCAACTTAAACTACAGATTTGAAAAACGGTGTTTTGGATTCAGACATCCCATCATCATTGATGGCTAGATGATATGTATATGATTATGCTTTTGTCATGGTTTGGGCCTGGTCAGCAGCCAACCACCACACAGCCACTCTCTCTCCCTTCTCTTCTGGCAATAAGAAGGGATAAATGAGCCAGGATTGGGGTTCGAGATAGGACTGGGATGGGGAAAAAATCACCCTTTATGGTCATGAGCAAAAGGCAGACTTGTTAGGGGAAGAAAAAAAAGAACATAGATTTATTACAGACACTAACAACACTTAACAGAGTAGGACAGTGAGAAGCATTGCCACATCTTGAAAAGACCTTCCCCCCACCCCTCCCTTCTTCCCAGGTTCAGTTCTGCTCCCGATATCTCTACCTCCTCCCCACAGTGGCACAGGGGCAGGGAATGGGGGGTGCAGTCAGTGCTTCCACTTTTTCCATCTTCGGTGGGGAAGCTTCTGGAACTTCTTCCCCCTGCTCCATTCTGGTCCCCCTCTCACAGGAGACAGTCCTCCACAAACTTTCTCTGACATGAGTTCCTCCCACGGGCCTCAGAATTCCCCACACTGCTCCGTCGTGGGTCACTAACTTTCTCCAACTGGAGTCCCTCCCACAGCTGCAGCCCTTCCTGAGCTGCTCCGGAGTGGGACACCCCTGCATGCTGCAATCCTCCCAGTGCTGAACTACAACAGCAGGGTCTACCTTTTCCCACAAGACCCCGGCCTTCTTCAGGCACAGCTCCTTGATCAACAAGGCGGAAGCCACAGGCCATAAATCAATGTCTGCTCCACCGTAGGTCTTCATGGTTGGCAGGGGGGGCTGCCCTGCCGTCTCACCACAGGATACAGGGGGGTCTCTGCTCTGGCACACCTCCCCCCTCCTGTCTTCCTCCGTTCCTCCACTGACCTTGGTGTTCATGCAGCTGCAGCAACTCCTTCTCACAAATCTGACTCCTCCTTACCACATCCCTTCTTAAATACGTTATCGCAGAGGTGCAGCTGATTGGCTCAGTTTTGGTGCAGAGGTGGAGCTGACTTGGAGCTGGAGGAGCTTTGAGAAGCTTCTCACAGGGGGCTGCCCCTATAACCCCCTCCCCTGCCACCAAAAAAACTCCACCACTCACTCAACCCAGGACAGCTTTTTACTGATACAGCCAGGAAGTTCAACTGTATGATAACATGGGAATAGTACCACATTCCCTCTCATAGGGATGTTCAAAGGATAACTGTGCTAAAGATTGTTAAGTTTTAGATCTGATGGTACCATGTGAGCACCTACAATGAATGTTGGAATGTATGTCTAGAAGTGCCATCTTTGAAATCCTACTAATACATTATACTGGGTAAAACTGCTTGTTGCAGTTTGTAGCACTAAACCAATATGTGTGTGGTTCACTAATCTATTCCTGATGGACATTTGGCACTTATTTGTGGACATTACTTTCTGCATACAGCAGTGTTTTCTTTTGTGTATTATTAAGTAACAGGTTGTTGAACCACATCTGGATTCAGTAGTTACAGTAAATCTTGGCTGTTCCATGGTTATCCAGGATAAAGAAGTAATCTATTCCATTGAATCCTACTTTGAAGAACTTGAGTGAAATAAGAGCAGGGGGAGTCACAAGGGGATGGGTCACTCTTTGATGTACAAGTCTGAACTGTGACTCTATCTGTTGTCTGTACCCTTTTTGCAGATCTCTGGATGCCAGTCCTCTTCAAGAACTGTCCTGATTGTACCTTTTTCTCATAAGTTAAAGGAAGATAGTCTATCCAGGTAGAAGTTCCTATGCAAATACAGAAATACTGCTGTGTAGTTTCCCCTCTGTCTACCCTCTCAATCCATCTATAATTCATTAGGATGTTATTAATTCTCCTGTTGAAAGACCTAAAGCAGAGCAACTCTGAAATTTCCTCAACAGTGATGTTTTTTTTTTTTTTACTCTACTGTTTTGTATTTTTTTTTTTTTCATGTATGTGCCAGTTTTCAAGTTATCCATCATAGGCTTTTGGTAAGTTGCCCGAGGTAATCATGTTCTGCTAAATCGGTGTGTGTGTGTATGAGAAAGGTTACCTACTCAACCTTTAATAAAGTTTCAGGGAACACCAACTCCAAGTGTCTTGTTTAACTAGGATGGATTTAAATGAGTGATAATATTCAGTTACTAGCTCTGAGACAATTTGGCAGTCTGAGGTACCATGAGGACTCAGCTACTGCAAACAATACTGTTCTCCACAGAAATGAATATGTGCTGGTATGCTGCCAAGGTTATTCTAGGGCTGCAGATGGCATCTACAGTTCCCACCGTATAAGTCTGAGTTTAATGCGACTAGTGCAGACAGTGTGTAGCTGATGCAATTTTTTACTGGAATGTGATAATCAAATTTAAATTTTATTTTCCCTAAGTATTTTAGAACACAGATATACTATGTGTTGTTCCTGAAACATGTCCTGACAGCAGTGTATGGCCTTCTTCCCCTTAAAATCAGCCTTCTCTGCGTATTTGATTACCTCAATAAAAGCCAGTGATAGTGGATACAGACAGGGCATATTTTGCAAGTAGATATAAGCATAAATTCCAATAGGGCATGAGGACTGCCACTTTTTTTAAAGAGGCCCTAAGAGGCAAATACAGTTTGTCTCTCACGTGACGTGGTATGTTTGTAGAAGTGAAGGAAAGTGATGTAACACATGAAGAGGCAGAAAGACAATATAGCAGGGTCATGGATAGTCAAAAATGAGGACACTCCATGCTGGAGGCTCTGCAGTCACACGCATAGGGATGTAAACATCTCAAATTGCTACTGCATCAGTTGGTGTATCCCTGCCTCTAAAAAATAGCACTGTCATAAAAATTAGCTACATGGGTGTAACTGTTTGGTGACACTGGATGAGCTGGCATAATTCAGATGCAAAATATGAAGCTTTGATAATATCTACCAACTAAGGGTCTATCCAGAGTAACTTCCAAAGAATGTAAAGGGCCTGTCCAAGCAGTGCAGAGCTGTTAAGCTATGTAAAAGAGTAAAGTGAGAACTGCTCTGTGTAGAAGCATGTCTTTCTTGCTGCAACATGAACTATTTCATGTGGCTGATTCTAGCTTTTGGCTATATTTGCAGCCATAAGATGTTTAGACCATTGTCTTTTAAGCAAATTTTATACTTCCTGGATGTGTTGATACACCTCAGAACTGGTCTAGAACATTAGGTTTTATCACTGTATTTGACTAAGTACAGCTTGAAACCTAAGTTGCAGAGTGTCAGAGAAAAGCTTTATTTGACACAACAGCAACTCTATAACCTTCAATGTATAACAGATATGGATTGCTGGTCTTCTCTGGTAGTATAAAAGAATTGCTTTTTTATCAGGAAGATAGTTTTAAAAAGCTACTGAGTCTAACTTAGAATAAGTGATCAAAATGTGGTGCTTGTACAGCAGAATTTATTTGGAATGATTTGTAAAAGAACAGGCTATGGACAGCAGGTACATATCTAAATCATCTAAGGATCCATGAGATATATGTGTAAACTGAATGGGGAAATTCCAAGTCCCTAATTTTGATGTCCAACAAGGTGAGACTCACGCAGATCTGATAATACAATTAGAATGTATGCCAGGAGCTCACCAATGAAATTTGTAGGCTTTAGTTTTTCTATTCTAGATACTACTGTGGTTTTGCTGTCTTCCAGTAAGCTACTTCTGATCTGTATGAGAGTGAGAGCAGAGACAGCATCCAAGAATCTCAGTGTAAGCTCCTGAAGGACAGAAGAATATTTTTAATCTAGTGTTGTGTCTACAGATATAGACAGATGCAACTGATTGGCTGGGAACCAGCTACAGTCCAGAAAACTGCAGATAAGATGGTGGTATGTACAAAACAGTACATTCTGCTCAAAGGTTACCCATCTAGGTGCGAGGAGCTGTGTGATCCAGCTAGTTCTTTCTGTTTCACTTGGAGCTTGATTCTGTCATCAGCCATCTGTGGGTATCTCCCGGAGGTAAGGCTGCGCGTGGGAACAGGAGTGGGTGCCTGTGGCCACAGGCAGCGCGTGCAAGTTAGGTTAGAAAGACTGTCCTCAGTCTGTATCCAACTTAGCTTATAAATTAGTAGAGTAACTCTGAATTAAGTTGCCAGAAGTGATCAGACCGATAGATGGATTCCTTTTGGCTACAGTTAGCTTTGGATCAGGTTCTCAAGGAATAAATAGATGACTAAAGTCCTTAACCTGAATTCTCATAGTCAAAAGTGGAGAGGCAATCTTTCTTGCAGAGTGGATTGGAAAACCTCTGCTGGCCTTTCAAAGTTCTGTTCTTAAATTCTCATGCAAGGCCTGGGTGGCTACAAACTTAGAGGGCAGCATTGATTGTTTGGAGCTGTTTCAGGCAGGGTGTGCTTAATAAGACTGTCATCTTGATATTAAAAAAAAAGCCATCAAATTAAAAGGGAAGTGGGGTGATGGGAAGCTAAATGTTTGCAAAACAGGCTAGTTCTTTGAATTTCCCAATCCATTATATAACAAAAATGCATGAACTGTGTGATTAAGAATACTAAGTAGTAAGTACAGAAATCATTTCTGTTTAGTGAGGATTCAAATCCCCTCGAGGCTTTAAAATGTTTTTTTTAAAGTCTAAGGAGGCGTGGGGGGGTGACATCTTTTCTATAAATGCATAGAATTACTAAGCACAGGGGATTTATTTAACCAGGAAACTTACATTATTGAGATTAGACATCTCGTTTTCAAGGTGCTCCTGGAAGATAATGACTCCTATACCCATAAGTCACTGTAGACATCAGTTTAGTCTGATAATACATAAATTGGCCTGACGATAGAAGTTAGCAGTTTTCACTCTAAATTGCAGTATAGTGCTAGATAGCAATAAAGAATGTGTGGGCCAGATTTATTGAGTTTCAGTAATATTATAGAGCAGAGGATTTGGCCCTCCCATTTAGAAAATACACATTTCCTCTCTAGAACAGAGACGCAGTTTTTCCTTTGATTAAAATATAACTGCTCTGAAAAAGAATGTAAATCTTCTGGGACAAGGGAAAGAATAATGTGATTATTTATCCTAGAAGGAATGTTAGCTTCAAGGCATGGATGAATGTTACAATGAATCACATGGAAAACACCATGTGCTTTTATGATGTTATGATTAAATGTGATCAGTTAGCAGGAGAAGATGCATGAAATTCTAATTGTGCTGAATTTGATGGGAATTTTGCTAGTGACTTTAATAGGAACAGACCTTCTCTGGGATTCTGAAAGTTGTGAAAGCATTTTACTTGCCTGTTTGATTTTGCGTTATAGAATATTGGCTCATTGTGTTTTCATTTGCTTGATTTTCTGGGCTGAAGTAAATGTTACAGCTATTTATGCTGAGTGACCTTAAAATAATCTTTGAGCTAAACTCTGTTGCAAATCCTTGTTGCAAAGGTGTAAAAGCTGCTGTGTTGAATTGATCATTGGATCTGTAAAATTGTCTTTTCAAAGGAGGAAAAGAATACTGCAATTTGGCAGGAGTGAAGAGGTTATGAAGCTTTTTCCTTACCAATTTTTAATTAGATGCTGAATGTAAAAGGAGGAAATGAAGAAGCTGTCTCTAAATTGAAGGAGATTCAAAAAGAAAAAAAAAAAATCAATAACGTTTAAAGAATCAGATTTTTAGTTAGTACTTCATGGGTGTCTTCCAAACTGTTAAGTAGATGTAATTTAGAGCCAGTGATCAGAAGATTTCATTCAGGAATATCAAATGTTAGTACCTCTGTCTTAGAGACACTATTGTGTTTGTGGTCTGAAACAGAGTTTTCTACAATTTCTAGTATCTTCAGGGGATATTCATGATAGAAAATGTTAAACTTGTTTTATAATAGCAGTGTCCTAGGTTCAAATAGTGGCTTCTCATAGAGCACTCAGTCATGGGTTGTGGGACAACATGGAAAGCATTCTGCACAGAACTGCTTTGTCATCTGCCTATTGTAAGTGAACAGAAGGAGGTGAAATGAGGCAGGGGTTTTATCCAGTGTGCCACCTGCATGGTTGCCTTCATATGTTAGGGGATATCTGGTATATTCAGTAGGCACTTGATGAAAGTAGACACACAGTCTCTTTCCAAAGAAGTGGGAGAGCCAAGAGGAAGGCTCTAATTGACTTAATTTCTGAATATCCCACTTTACACCAGGATAGCTTGTGGCGCAGAGTATCAAGGCATGAAAAAATATTAATTCAGCATTTTATGTGGACTGAATAGAGAAATGTGACCACTTAGCATATGATTAGTCATGTATTTAACACTCATACTATATAAGACAGTAGCATTGTTGCTCTTAGTTTTAAATTTGTATGAAGGTGCTCAGATGACAAATAGATGATGATCAGAGAAGAAATATATGTACATTTTTCATTAAGGATAAATATCTGTGGGAGGAAAAAAATAAGGGAGAAGAAAATAGGCGTAAATATTAGTTCCAGATTTACTGAAATATGTCCATGTTAACAATTACTAATACATTATTTTTCATTTGTCCAGCAAACCAAAGAAATATGCGAATTGCACAGCTCTGATGGTGACTTCTCCCAGTGACAGAAGAAGCTGCACCAGTAGACTGGTTATCATTGGACTGGGAACCTGGAGCCAGGGCTGAATTGTGAGTACCTGAATCATGCCTTGACCTTAACTACTTTTATTCCAGGCTAGATTATGGGTTGCCTCTTGCTATGAATACACAGCTGAAATACAGCCTCCTGAAAAGGCCAAGGATGCCTAGAGATCTCAGCTATGAAGTCTATTCATTGTGCAGGAATAAAAACCTCCATATTTGAAAGCCTCTATTTGTGGGCATTTTTTATTTTTTTATTGTCTTTAAACTTCTTGCAACGATGTAGAGCCCAAGCATGTAGAAATCATTTAGCACTGAAGAAAGATAATTAAATGCTAACAGTAATGCAAGATTAGAGCTACGAAGTGAAGGTTCATGTGTTTCCTGTTTGGTTAAACCGATTTCTGTATCCTCGTTTTTACAGTGTGGGTTTGCTATTCTGATATGCTAGTGCTGCTGCAAATTGCTCTATTTATACCAGATAAAATGTACATAGATGTCACAACACTGACATTACCTTCAAATTTTCTCTACTACCTTCAAATTTCTTCTATTTAGTTACTGGGTTTTTATTTATTTTCAAAGCTCAATTTTTTACACAGACAGCTGTGGCATTAAGTGGCATTAAGAACTCTTTTAAATATTTTATTTATATCATTCATCCTGATCAACCAATCATAAGCTGTTGCAAATTATTTTAATTATTATATTAGGTGCTTCCTCACATTTTATAATTTATCCATTAGTCTAGGACTGGAACTTGATGGATAATGTCATCTATATTTTGGGCCTATCAACAAACTTGATCCTTTCATATTGCCATATCAGTGAATTAGCAGAGGTCTAAAATGTTACTTCTTCACAAAAGGAGTCTTGACACTGTAAGTACTCAAAACCATGTAATAACAAATTTTCAGTCTTTGGTCTTAAGGTCTTAGTGTCTTGCATCCAGAATATCTGCAGCACTGCTTTGGGTTGCACTTGAAGTCTTCACTGACGGCGATTTCCTGTAAAGCTATTAGCCCAGCAGAATGGAAATCAAAATGGCTTAAATTTCTCTGTTTCTCAGGTGAGATATTCGAACTGAATATTTTAAACCTGTCTCAAACAACTTTCACCCAGTACTTTCAATGTAATGTCTTTGGTATAGACATATGTGGAGAGCTGGTACAGCTGGAAACAACAAGATTAATGTACCAGGATATGAAATGAGAGTGATTGAATACTGGAGGACTGCCTTTTGGAAAATGAAGGAAGTCAAACAAGTCATCTGGGGCATGTACTCAGGAGGCACGTCCACAGACTCTAAACTAGTATGACTCCCAGTTTCAATCTCTAGCTCTGTATTTGCAAAAAGCCTTCCTCTGGTTTTCATATTTTACTTCAATGGAATAGGGCCTAGCTCCTGAGATTTCAAGCCTGATGTGATGAATTACACCTGTCCAAATGGTGAAGCAAGAACAACTGAAACAAGAATTGGCCCAATGCCCTAGAAAGTTTCCAGATGAGTATTTATCTGTCTTCACAAAAGGTTGTCTTCTACAGCTCTGCATTTTTGCCTTCCTACATAGTTGCTTGCTATATATGTCTATGTCTGAAACTGTAGATACAGGCTGCTTTTTATATTTTAATTTGTTTTTCTTCCTAAATTATTATTTTTCTCTGCATGTCTACAAATAAAAGCATAATGAAAACTTAATATCTCAGTATAAGATCCCTGCTTTCTTAGCTACTCTTACCTTGAGGTTTTGTGGTATAAAATTAAGAAGCTTCCTCTTAAAGGTTTCAGAGTAAATATGCATAACAAAACCCCTCAAAAGCCGCAACCTAAAATCAAGAGATTAAATCAGTCTGAATGAAAAACATATCCCCCTGAGTTATTTAGGTGCTGGTTCCTTATTATATCTTGTCATTTTACTAGCATTTCAGAAAGACTCCAGTCTTTCTGGAGTTTTCAGATAGTTATTACTGTAAAAAAAATGAAATAAAAAAAAAGAGTAATTCTCCATAGCTGGGACATGTTGCTTTTGATCATTACTTTCATAGTATTTTGCACATGAGGTTTCTGCAGTTATTTCATTTTTTCCAGCTGAAGAACCTGAGGAACAGGAAGGATAAGAACTTGCTCCCTCACCAGGAAACTAACAAGGGATCCACAAAGCAAATGCAAGCCCATCTGTGGCAAACTAGGCCTCTCAGGTGTCTGGTTTTGTATAATCACGTTAGAAAAGTGTCACTAGGTGTTAACTGACAAAATCTGTTAGGGTTCCTCAAGTTTGTAGGAGGAGTAAATGACAAGTCTCTTGCTAATTGGCTTCTAAATTATAACATTTTTCATGAAACTCTTCATAGCCAACCCTACTTTTCTAATATGAAACCAGCACAAAATTATTACTGAAAAGGAGGCCTGGGAAAAGCCATCAAAAAAGACTTTTATACAGTTCACAGTAAATATGAAAAGTGCAAACTAAAGATATTTTCCTTTTAAAATCTTGAATCTTATCTCTCCTCTGGTGTTTGTTGTCATGCCTTTGTGTGAGCCTTGTTTGTTTGCTTTTTTTTGTTTTTTTTTTTTTTTCAGAGTAGAAACTAAGTTATGTTGAAATATATTTATCCTGCCAAAATATGGAAATTTCAAATTCAGTGGGGTGCAGAATCAAACTGTAAAATTACTAAAATAAACTGAAATAGTCAGAGGTACGAGCAATGAAAGAGTTGCTTGACATTTACGAATATGGAGCTCTGTTCCCAAAGGAAGGATAGCAAGAACTTGGTCACAGAATGCCACTATGTCTCCATTTGTGGTGAATTTCACCTTATGTCTTTGGTATCAACTGCTGCTTGTTCTTGTGACCAAATATCATGTCATTCACATAAGAGCTATGGGAAATTAGTTGTGGGTTGGGAGGCAATATTATTCCAAACCCAGTCTAATTTCAGGTATTTCATAATCTGAAACAATTCGAGACTCACAGTGCTTTAGGCATTATTTCTTCCTCAGATTGTTCTACTTCACTAAGGTGAAGGAATTTAGCTGATGTATACAAATTAGTGATATAGACTACTGTTTTTCTTTACAATTGCTTATCCCTCATCTGCCTGCCTGTATATACTGTAATACCTCTCATTATAACCCATGGATCATCTTTGAATACTCCCAATTTTTAAATTTCCAGATCTGCCATGCTTTCTAATAGCAAAATTGGTTTAGTCCTAATCTGCATCACCAAGCAGTCAACATGTCAGACACCAGTTTGATAATTATTCTTTAGTGTATAGGCCCAGAGTATGAGCGTTTCATGTTTTTTTTTTTTTTTTGGTTGGTTGGCTGGCTGTTTTTTTTAATTTAATAATTTGATTGTGGCCCATACATTTCTTTTCCAAGGTCCCCAAGTAAGATGATTTCACTCAAAATGTAGTCAACAATAATTACTGAATTTTGTAAATTAATTAATTTGTATAGAAAATCAGCATTTTTGAAGAATTTCTTTGTGTCTTTTGAGAATCTGAGTAAGCTGAGAAGATTTGCCTTGGAGTTAGCTGTATGTGTCAGTGGTCTTGGGCAGAAAGAGTTTTATTTCTATTAGATGATATACTAAATGGAAACAACAGCCTGCAAGAGAGCATTTCCCAAGTCCATCATAATCATTCATCATCAAATAATTTTGTTTTGTTGGTAAACATTGTTCTTTAATTCAGAAAACAGTTTGTACTGGCCTGGGGTAGCCTGTCTCATTTGATAATGGGCTCTGAATCCAGTGGATTATTGTAAGGATTTTATCTTGCGTTAATCTCCAGGGAGAAATGTACAAACAGCTGGGAGAGCAAGGAGGAGCTGCATTGTGCAGCAGGAGTTTGTGGAGCAGAATTTTGGGGTGCTGGAGTGGATCTTAATACCAACATGAATCTTTTCTGTTTTTCTCTGGTAAGTGTACACACTCATGTTTTTATTTAGTGGGTTGATGAGTTGATAAAATGAACTGGTTGGGTGTGTTTGGATGGAAAAAAAATCAATGTGTTATATCACAAACTGTGCAAGGGTTGCGTAACAACAGAGGGTATCCCTAGCATGGATGAAAGAGAATTTATGTATGAGAAATTGTACATAGAAAAATATGATTCAATAAAATTAAGATGAAGCAAAAAGCATATAACAAATGTACTGTTGACTATCTGTGACTGTTACAAAAACATGGAGATTTAAACATGAGGCATTTGACCCCAACACAGTGGAACACCTCATAGGCAAGTTAAAATTACTAAATATATGTATGCCATAATTTGCTTTTTTTTTTTTTTTTTAGATAATAGTATTTATTTTCCTTCTTAAGTAGTTTGTGAGAACTGCTAGAAATTTTCAAGTATTAGTTTTCTAATAGCCAAACATGAATACATAGTCATCAGGGCTAATCCAGTCATATGTCAATATTTGCTCACAGAGTTGATTTAAGATCCTCTCCAGTTGTTTTGTTTTGTTTTGTTTTCAGTTTTTATTTTCTTTTTTTTTTCCTTTTTTTTTCCTCTTTCCTTGCCCCAAGACAACAAGTCAAACTGAACAGGTAAATCAGGATAGGAGATCCATGGAAACTGTTTCTGTTTTCAAAGCTTAACCGTCTGCCAATACCAATGCTCAGTATTAGTAATGGTAATTAGATGAGTATATTTGCTGTATTTACACAGCACAGTAGATCTGTTTGCCCATTTTTCATCTTTTGTCCAGATGTTTAGTGTATCTTCCCCATATGTTTAGAAAGAACAGTAAAAATCAACATTCAAACTGTACTGACATGAATTCAAATAGGGGAGCTGTTTTGCATAAACCATTGTTCCTGACTGCTAATGCTATTTTAGTGCAGAATACTGGTTTTCTTCAGATTGTAAGGTTTAAAAGCTGTTTTGGAATACTTAAAGTAAAATGCAGTGGTATTTTAAGATTCTGTGACAAGAGTCACTCATAAAAAATAATTCCCTGGGAATTCAATGACACTTTTGATCATAGTTTAATGTGAATACCTGTGTATTTGTTCAAAGTTAACAATGGCTTTGTGGTACAATCTGTGACAGCTTGAAAATACTAATTTCTGAAGTTCTTTGGGACAGAACTGTTCTATCGATATTTTATTGTTCCATTGGGGAAGCTTCTTGCTTTCTATGTAGTTAACTTTTTAAAAAGGTGTTGAGTCTTCTATCAGTTGAGAAATCAGAATTTAGACAAAATGTGAGGTGGGTTGTATGGGTGAGAGTAGGTCAAGTTGCAGTTTCTCTGTAAAACCAGGTATGCAGCAGCTGGAGTTTCTGTGAGAGAGATGACTGCAGTAAAAATGGATGGTTCAGACAAGTGAAAGCTAGTGCCATGATAGTTTCTGTAATTAAATAATTAGTTCTGTTTAAAGATTGCTGCTAAGAAGATAACCTCCGTTTTTTATAAACTTTCCATGGGATCCATTCTGTCCACTTAGGTAATCTTTCAAACACCTAGCAAAATACCTCACAGGTTATCAAGATCTAAAGATAATTCATAGTTCACTAAAGTATTTCATAAAACTCAGAGCCCTGTGCAGTCCTTCTTATGCATGTAACACAGTGTAGTTGTTTTCTGTAATCAGATTGTCTAGCTTGGATATGAGCTAGTGATCCAAGCATGTACACTAGCTACTTTTACTCTATCAGCCTGTGACTGTGAAAAGGCTGGAAAAAAAGTGGTTGAAGTATCAATAGAAGGGTATTTTTCTCTTCAAGAGAGTGAAATCAGAAACAATGCACAGGAACTAAATAGTTGGGCTTCAAACACAACTTTTAAAGACAGTAGAGGAGCCCGTTCCTTAGCAGATGAAAATAGCCACTGATGAATAGAAATCACTGCTGATTTACATCAAGTGAACATCTGGAATAACAGCTAAACCTGAAAACATGGGAGAGAAGTTTAGACTATCAACAGACAGAACAAAAGCAGCTATCCAAAAAAATAATATTCTCATGGAGGTGCTTTTCTCATGTAGACTGACTGACAAGATTTCAGTCTGCAACAAACGTGTGCTTGTGTGTACGTGTGTGTGTACAAAGGCATATATTTTTAAAATTATCTTATAGCTCAGACAATAGTTTTTTATCCTACGTTGTATAGTGGCTGAAGTAAGCTACGACCTAAAGTAATGACAAGAATATAATTTAAAAGTGTAGAGTAGAACCAGACTTCTGGCTGATCCAAAGTGGTGGAATGCTATGGTAGTTAAAGGAACATCAGTTTATGCTGTTCAACTTGACTCTCTGTGGGTTTGCTTTCATACCTGTCCATGAAACTGATACATATTTTTAACACGAGAGACACAGTGTTATGGACCAGTCTAGCAAGTGGTGACATGGATGCTGAAGGCAGTCAAGAGTCACAAGTTGGCTGTAAGGGCTTTGGAGCCTGGACTGGGCTCTGCCCTTATCAGGGACACATAAGAAATTGCTCCAATCTGTTGCCACCTGGTAGCCCTTTGATCTCCTAGTGTGAGTTTTCCAGCATGGGGTCTTTCCCCAGCAATACTTTGTGTGCTGAGTTGACTTCAGAATTATTTGGTTTCTCAAGTGAAATGAATTTTGCATCAGACTCATTGCCTTGGTCTCAAGGGATTTGCAGGACAATTAAGTTTGCCTTCAGAAACTTGTGTCCCTTCTCCATTTACAAAATGTTCGAAAGGATAAATGTTCCTTCCTTTGTAGACATATTATGTTAAATAGTCAACCTTAGAAACTGAATTTGCAATGCCTTTTCCATCTTATGGTGCTTAGCATGTGTCATGGTTTGAGCCTGGTCAGCAGCCAAACACCAAACAGCCACTCACTCCCCCTTCTCTTTCGGCAATGAGAAGGGACAGATGAGCCAGGCTTGGGATTTGAGATTGGACCGGGAGGGGAAGATCACCCATTATGGTCATGAGCAAAAGGCAGTCTTGTTAGGGGAAGGAAAAAAAAGAATATCCATTTATTACAGACACTAACAACACTTAACAGAGTAGGACAGTGAGAAGCATTGCCACATCTAGAGAACACCTTCCCCCCACCCCTCCCTTCTTCCTGGGCTCAGTTCTGCTCCCGATATCTCTACCTCCTCCCCCCAGCGGTGCAGGGGCAGGGAATGGGGGGTGCAGTCAGTGCTGCCACTTTCTCCATCTTCAGTGGGGAGTGCTTCTGGAACTTCTTCTCCCTGCTCCATTCTGGTCCCCCTCTCACAGGAGACAGTCCTCCACAAACTTTCTCTGACATGAGTCCCTCCCATGGGCTGCAGCGTTCCCCACACTGCTCTGGCGTGGGACACTAACTTTCTCCAACTGGAGTCCCTCCCACAGCTGCAGCCCTTCCTGAGCTGCTCCGGCGTGGGACACCCCTGCATGCTGCAATCCTTCCAGCGCTGAACTACAACAGCGGGGTCTACCTTTTCCCACAAGACCTTGGCCTTATTTGGGCACAGCACCTTGATCATCCATGCGAAAAACACAGGCCATAAATCAGTGTCTGCTCCACTGTAGATCTTCATGTGTGTGTGGGGGGGGCTGCCCTACCATCTCACCACAGGATACAGGGGGGTCTCTGCTCTGGCACACCTCCCCCCCTCTTTTCCTCCTCTGTTTCTTCACTGACCTTGGTGTTCACGCAGCTGCCGCAACTCCTTCTCATAAGTCTGACTCCTCCTCACAAATCTGACTCCTCCTTACCATATCCCTTCTTAAATACGTTATCGCAGAGGTGCAGCTGATTGGCTCAGTTTTGGTGCAGAGGTGGAGCTGACTTGGAGCTGGAGGAGCTTTGAGAAGCTTCTCACAGGGGGCTGCCCCTATAACCCCCTCCCCTGCCACCAAAAAACCCACCACTCACTGAAACCCAGGACTGCATGTCAGACAATTATATTCAAACAATACTGTTTGTATTATGGACAATATATAGAGAGGTGTCCAAATTAAACACTGCTGCTTTATGAATGGAAAGAAATTATGTTGCCAAACCATCTGTTTTGTTACCCTGCCTAATAAATGGCAGCATCCCACAAATCTGAGATATAAAATATATTATGGAATCATCAAGGCCTTTGGTTAAGGTAGAATATTGTTCTTACATTATTTTCCTGAATCAACACTCCAGTATTGAGGATATATACTGTGGGGTTGACACCAATTCACCTGGAACACTACCAGTTAATCCTGTCCTGAGTTATTCTCTTTTCTGACAGGGTATACTTTTACTGGTTTGGTAGCATTTACTCCTGAAAGCAGCAGAACTGTCTGCTTGGATGGGGTCATCTTTGACCGCAGTATTACACTTAGCCCAAATAACAGGCTTTTGAGATATTTCTCTACAGAGGTTCCAATGAAGCACACACGTCCAGGAACCTGTCCAGGCATTGAGCCTCCTCAGCACAGAAGCACCTTTGTCTGTTCTAGCAAACCCTCCAAAATAAGGTAGCTCCATGCAACCTGCCTGTCAATTATAGTTTTGATGGTGTTTTAACAACTGTGCCAAGGAGTCATTTGAATGCCTGTTAGTTGACATAAGACAAGTGTGGGCCAGGGACTGTTCTGTCAGGGGGGCATCAGTTCAGATGATCACGTTACAGTACCCTGGTTCATTCTTGTCCATCATTTCATTTACTAAGAGAGATGCAGCCAGATGTATTTCTGTTTCAAAGAAACAATGAATTTCAGTGATGTTTCCATAAGAAAGTGAATGTGAGGGAAATGAAAGACTTCCTTACACAAAGCAATACTTAAAGACTAGATCCTAACTTCTGTGGCAGTGGAGGTGGTATTAGTAATGAAACTAATGAAGACATGAAAGAATTTCAGATACTTAATAGGTGCCAACATTTTGTATATCGGAAATCCATATAAGAAAGGCAGTAGAGAAAGGATACAACACTTCTAATCACAAGGTGGCTCAGATCAG